CACCACACCAGGGCTCCACAACAGTAGCAGACTTTAATTACACCACTTTCGATGAAGGACAGAGCTAGAAATAGAAAACAGAAAAATGGAAAGAATCAACCAGTTAGAAGTTAGTTCATTGAAAAGATTGATACAATTGACAAACCAATGGCAAAGCTAACAGAAGAAAAGAAGATGAAAGCAGCATGAATAGCAAGATGAAATGGGTTGCATCACAGCAGAAACAATGAAAATAAAAAGCATAATAACAAAATACTATGAAGAACCATACTCCAACAAATTTGAAAACCTAGCAGAAATGGACAAATTTCTAGAAGAATTACATGCCATATGTGATCTACATAAGGCTCCTCAGCAGTTACAAGATTGACAACAAATGTGATAAGGTCTAAGGGACTAAGATGAGCTATAGATCTTAACCTGTCATGGAAATAAACAGCAAGTCCTGGTGTGGTGCTGTAGTATAAGCTCAGGACTCATAACCACTCAGTTAGTAATTCAAACCCACCAGCTGTTACTTGGAAGTCCTATATGAGGTCACTATGAGTCGGACTGACTTGATGGCACTTAACAACATACATGTATAAGAATCCTTGGTGATGTAGTGGGCTATGTATTAGACTACTAACTGAAAGTTCAGAAATTCGAACCCACTACCTGCTCCACAAGAGAAAAACGGGGATTTCTGCTCCCATAAAGATCTACCTATCTAGAGATATAGAGATACATACATATACTAGAGTCCTAGTGTGGTGCTGTGAGATAAAGCATTGGACAGCAAGCTCAGTTCAAACTCACCAGTTACTCCTTGGAAACTCTATACAGGATAACAATTGTGAGGTTGGCCCAGGACCGGGCAGTGTTTCGTTCTGTTGTACATAGGGTCACTATGAGTCGGTACTGACTCGATAGTACCTAACAACAACAATAACATGAGTAGGAACTGACTTAATGGCACTTAACAACTTAACTGAGATTTACAGACCATTTCAAGAACAGATCAGATGCATTAGATGCTAATAACAGAGACCCGAAGAGCTGTTGGATGACATCAAGAATATCGTACTGGAAGAAAGCAAAGGGTCATTAAAAGACAGAAAAGAAAAAAAGATCAAAATGGATGTCAAAAGAGACTCTGAAACTTGCTCACCCGCATAGACATATTAAAACAAATAGAAGAAATGAGAAAGTAAAAGAATAGAACAAAACATTTCAAAGGGCAGCTAGAGAAGACAAAGTATTATAATGAAATGTTCTCAGATGTAGAGTTAGAAAACCAAAGGGAAGAACACGTTCAACATTTCTCAAGCTCCAAGAACTAAAGAAAAATTTCAAGCCTCAACTTGAAATACTGACAGATGCTATGGGCTAATTCTACCAGTCATTTGTCGGTTTTCTGTAAAGTAGTGGCTTGCATACTGCTGTGATTCTGGAAGTTATGCTACCACCATTTAAAATACCAGCAGGGTCACCAATGTTGGACAAGTTTCAGCAGATCTTCTAAGACAGACTAGGAAGAAGGATATGTGGACTACTTCTGAATGGTTGGTGGCTGTGTGCTGTGGAGTCGGTTCCAACTTATTGTGACCCTGAAAAGGGTTTCTGTAGCTGTAAATCTTTAAGGGAGCAGAAAGCCTCATCTTTCTCCTGCGGAGCAGCTGGTAGTTTCAAACTGCTCACCTTGAGGTTAGCAGCCCAACTCATAACCACTACACTACCAGAGCTCCTTATTCAATCTGTATGCTGAGCAAATAATTTGAGAAGTTGGGTTATATGAAGAAGAACATAGCGTCAGGATTGGAGGAAGACTCTTGAACAACCTACCATATGCACATGATACAACCTTACTTGCTGATATTGAAGAGGACTTAAAATACTTACTGATGAAGATCAAAGATCACAGCCTTTGGTATGGGTTGCACCTCAATATAAAGAAAACAAAAACCTCGCCGCTGGACCAATAAATAACATGAAGATAAATTAGGAAAAGATTGAAGTTGTCAAAGACTTCATTTTGCTCAGAACAACCATCAATACTCATGGAAGCAGCAGTCAAGATATCAAACAATGTATTGTATTAAGTGAATCTGTTGCACTAGACCTCTTTAAAGTGTTCAAGATGTTAGTTTGGGTACTAAGGTGTGCCTGACCCAAGCCATGGTATTTTCAATAACCTCATATGCATGTGAAAGTTGGCCAATGAATAAAGAAGACAGTAGAAGAGTTGATGAATTGAATTATCATGTTGGAGGAGAATATTAAAAGTATCATGGACTGCCCTAAGAACAAACTCATATGTTTTGGAAGAAGTAGAGCCAGAGTGCTCCTTAGAAGCCAGGATGGCCAGACTTTGTCTCTCATACTTGGAATACAAATTGAAATCTTTCAACAAACTGCTACAGCAATGGAGGCACTTATTCATCTATGCCAAGAAATTTGGAAGACAGCTACCTGACCAACTGAAAAGATTCATATTTGTGCCCATTTCAAAGAGAAGTGACCCAACTAAGTGCAGAAATCAATAATAATTATATTAATTATAATATCACATGCAAATAAAATTAAGCTGAAAATAATTCAAAAACAGCTAAAGCAGTACATAAACAGAGAAGTACCAGAGGTTCAAGACAGATTCAGAAGAGGACTTGGAACAAGGGATATTATTGCTGATATCAGATGTATCTTGTTTGAAAGCAGTGAATACCAGAAAGATGTTTACTTGTGCTTTATAGACTATGCCAAAGTTTCTGACTGTGTGGATTATGACAAGCTATGGATCACTTTGCAAAGAATGGGTATTCTAGAACACTAAATTGTGCTCATGAGAAACCTATACAAAAGCACCAGGAAATACTGAATGATTCAAAATTAGGAAAGGTGTGTGCTACGGTTATATTCTTTAACCATATTATTCAATCTGTATGCTGAGCAAAAAATCCAAGAAACTAGATTATATAAGGATGAATACAGCATCAGGATTAGAGGAAGACTCATGAACAGCTAGTGATATGTAGATTATGCAACCTTGCATGCTGAAAGTGAAGAGGACTTAAAATACTTCCTGATGAAGATCACAGAACATAGCCTTCCGTATGGATTGCACCTCAGTGGAAAGAAAACAAAAATCTTCAATACTGGTCCAATGAATAACATCATGATAAATGTAAAAAAGATTGAAGTTATCAAAGACTTCATTTTGCTTGGATCAACAATCAACACTCAGGCAAGCAGCAATCAAGAAATCAAATGACGTATTACATTAGGTAAATCTGCAGCACAAGACCTCTTACCCTAAAGTGCTCAAGAGCTAACATGTTAGTTTGTGGACTAAGGTGTGCCTAACCCAAGCCATGGTATCTTTAATAGCCTCGTATGCATGTGAAAGCTGAACAATTCATAAGACCAAAGAAGAATTGATGCATTTGAATTACAGTGTTGAAGAAGAATATTGAAAGTACCATGGACTGCCAGAAGAACAAACAATTCTGTGTTGGAAGTGCAGCCAGAGTGCTCTTGAGAAGCCAGCATGGTGAGACTTCAACTCTCATACTTCAGACATGTTATCAGGAGGGATCAGTCCCTGAAGAAGGGCATCATACTTGGCAAAGTGGAGGGTCCGTGAAAAAGACGAAGACCTCTAACAAGATGGATTGGCACAATCGCAGCAGAAATAGGCTAATCGTAACAACAATTGTGAGATGGCACAGGACCAGGAAGTGTTTTGTTCTGTTGTGCATAGGATCATTATGAGTCGGAACCGACTCTATAGCACTTAACAACAACAACAAAGACTTACAGTCTCACTGAAGCAACCGAGACTATGGTCCTTGGCCAGCCTTCAAGTCTGTAATGGAAATCACTTTCATAGCCCAATTTTCAGCTGAGATCAAAAAGCCAACATTTACCTAAGTAAATCTAAGTTTAAATTTAAGATTTAAGATTCTAAGTTTAGAAGCGATGGGTAGGAGGTATGGAAATGGAAACAGGAATCATAGAAAAGAAGTAAGACAACTATATTACCTGGAAAGGATTGCAACT